GTTGTTTCTGCTATTTTATCATCTGGTAATAATCTTCTGACAGTTAAATCTACGGTTCCTCCACCACAATCAACAACTAAATATGTTACTAATTAAGAATATAAAAATAATAAATGTTATTTAAAATTTTTATAAGTAAATAATCTAAAAAAAAAAAAAAAAAAAAATTAATAAAATACCTCCAGCCTTCATATCAAGTTCTTTTAATTTATTTATGCAATATACAGAAGCAGCTTCCGCTAAGAATTTAGATAACTATAAATTATAAAATATTAGATAAAGTATAAAGTAGATAATAAAAAATAAACTCATACGTTCAGTGGTAAATTGAAGATTTAATGTGCCAAGAGATCTAATTAAATCAGCATTATGTATGCATCTTCTCATAATTATCCTAACGTTCTCATTAAATTCTTAAGTGATAGGGATTAATACAGGTTATATATAAATATTTATATAATATATTATATACATTCATTTAAGGCCGCTTAGCAATTAAATTTTCGGTTAACATCACTTTTAGAACTCTTGGGAGAAGGGGATAAAATGAAACGAACATATAGAATGAACAAATATGAGACAATTTGATTGGTCGATGTAAATCAAGAGATTAGTGAGAATTATCCAGCATATTGATTGGTTGTTCATTTCTCGGGGGGAGCCTTCAGCTGGGGGGTGATGTTAACCCGAAGAATCAACTTCGAACGGCCTAAAGAAAATGATAATTACCAGCAGGTAAAGAGAAAACAAGTAGAACATGTTTATGGAAATTTATTCCAGGCCAATGATTTTCAATTTTCTCTTTCATAAACTGCCGTTAAATATTATAAAGTTATAAAAAATTTAAAATTTAATATAAATATACTGTATTATAATATTTTTGTCGTCATACCTTGCCTAAATAAATAAAATTTTGAAATCAGCTTTTAATATAGTAATGTTACTGATTTACTTGGTCAATACTTACCCATTTCACGAAGAAAATCGCTTATAGCTTGTTCATAAGTAATTTCTTGTGGTAATCTTGGTTTTTTACTTTCAGGAACATCACCCAAATAAAATTTAAAATATTCTACTGGTTTTGGTAAATTAAGCTTTTTTCGTTTTGTAGGCTCCAAACTTAAGGCACCAGCACCCCAATTAACAACTGCTCTATAAGTTTCATCATATTGTATTGCAGTATTAGTTTTATCGGGACTTTTAAAATGTCCCCATTCTTGATTGACAATAATTTCGATTTTTGCTTTATTTTCTTGAACATAAGCGTAAGCAAATCCTAATAAATCAAAAAAAAAAGATATTAGTAAGAATTAGTGAGAATTAGTAAGAATAAAAGG